CCATTAGGGTGGGTAATCAGTGTTTCATATGGCAACCCCCCCCCTATTCGGATTTCCTGGGCACGCCACTGCGTGATTCCCTCGGGTTTCGGTCGTTTTACGTCTTGGCCAAAGGCAGGGATCGCGCCAGCTTTAGGAACGAGCGGATCGCAAAATCGGAAATCAGAAAGACTGCAATCGGAACGACGGGAATCTGCTGCCGACGTTTCACGAGAAGACTGTCGAGCGTTACACCATGTGACGTAACGTTAAGCTGGCTTCACTCGGACGTACAAAACGTTGGCCTAGAGCCAGGCCTACTCCTCAGCCGGGTCCCAAACCTAATGTCGATGTGGGCCTAAAATTTGCTCACTTTAGGCTTTTCTCAATCACAAACTGCGTCGAACTCACTTCTCGAAGTGCTCCTCCTTAGCCAAACTACGAAGATTTCTGGGCCGAAATGATCCCTGGTCAACTCTAATGTGCGGAGGACGCGACTGAACTCGAAAAACCTCCACTAACTAAAGTCACTGAAGTCCCCAAACCAGAAAATCTTAAAGGATCGCCTGGGAAAGGTCCACGCCGCTCTCTCACTCTACGGCGGTGGCCATGCTCGCCGGAACGACTAGCAGTGATGCCAAACGTGAGCCAGTGATGCTATAGTCCTGTGTCACTGCATCGTCTCTCCTCTTTCCACGAAACTAAAAAAACGGCCGAGTGGATCTCTCACTCCTTCTCGCCTCCCCTCCAAAAACGAACCTTTTTTTTTTTTCCTCCTCTATTTTGCCACCATGCGGAAATCCAACCGTCGCTCTTCGAATTTCTCATCTCACAGCTTTAATTTTGACTGCGAACTTTAACCGAGCCTCGCCAGGAAATTCGCGAAATATCGCTTGCCGCTGAATTGAGCAAAATTTCAGAAATTGCAAAATCAAAGGTAGCGCAATATGTTCCCGAAATCCGCGCTCCAAGTTCCGGGAGTGGAACGAACTCGATATTATCTATTGATATTATCATTGTTTAGTTATTCAATTGTTGCACGTGCGCTGGAGCCTCAAGGAAGAAAAAAAAAGTGCGATTTGGTACTTGAATATACCGGGTTTAGGAAAAAAAAAACAGCTGCAAACGCGTTTATAGTTACGCACAGGGGACATCTGCAGCGAAAAACAATTTCACAAAAACCCACGAGATCGAAGATCGACGGTAAAATTTTGTGCTTATTGGGACGTTGCCCCGAATTCGCCCTGCGAATTCCCAGTAAGTGCCAATCCACTCCCAGCGGGAAGAGGATGCAGTCGACGGTGACGGGAGTCCCCGTTCTTTTCAGGCTGGAGGCTGCCGGTCCGAGGCCAAGAGGCACTTGACATCGCGAACACTTGAATGGAGCATTGGATGTTTTGAAACCTCGCTTGGGCGGGATGAAAGGGCCTCTAAGCTGAAGAGCTTAGATTCTTAAATGAAGGAGATTTCGGCATTCAGGCTTGATCCTTAAGTACAATTCAAAATGAGGACTCGTACGAGGTACTTCCATTTCTCCTGGAGTACTTTTATATTGGAATTACTTCTTTTATGTCATTTTCCCACAAATTATGATCCATCTTGCTTCTGAACCAAATTGAAAATGGCCGGAGAAAACGTTTTGGAAAAGAAGTACGGTAAAACCTCGTCAATTCGATATTGGTTAGTTCGAAGTACTGGATACTTCGAAATCGTCCGCGTTCCCCTTCCAAGAGGATAGTTATGTGTATGCTTCATGGTATGGATAAATCTAAATCCAGATATTTTAAAATTCGAAGGTACTTTCTGGTTCTGTGAGCAATAAACTCCTAGGGACGTATTCGCTTATTTCGAAGGGCATATTCCCTATCACCCAAAGATGAACTTCTGTCCAAGAACTCGCATTATGAGCGACTGCAAGGCCAGCTAATTGCCATTTTTTGGAAATTTCATTTTTCTATTCAGAAGAATTCTAAATATAGATTTTCGCTCGTGTTACATATTTGTGTTGATTGTTGGCAATTTTTTTGGTGTTAACGTTGGATTGTAAATACAAAAAATTTAAACCGGGTCTTCCTTTATTACGCACGTCGCATTACAGTTCGGGGGAATGTGGGTAGAATAGTAATGCAAAATGAAAAAAAAAGGTAAATCGGACTCTAACCCATTTATTTCTAAGTCGGTCTTTTTTGGTCCCCTGAATTTCGGATTAACGAGGTTTTACTTGGTTGTAATTCTTTATGGTTTTACTATCCCTTTTCACAAAGCAAAGAAAATACACCATCAAAAGCTGGAAGTTCAAATTTCATGACAAAAAAGACAATGGAATGTAAAAAACTTTTTTCATTTCCTCAAAACCATCAAGGGCAAGAGTTCAGGTCCAATATCAGGTACAAGACATAAATAATGACGAAAACTTCCTGAGGACATTGCTACCAGTTGGTTATAGAGAAATCTGCAGCAGAAGAAACTCATCTCTATCTCTATGAACAAAGCTGGTGACTCAGCCATCAAGGTCAAATAAAAAAACCCATTGTCTCAGAAAGTCATAGACGTTCACGGCATTTCATGGTTTGGATGAGATTCCTCCAACATGCAGAGATCAGAGGTTTCTCCTTGACTATCGCAAGATGACATCTGACAACTCTTTTCGAGATACTCCCTGCGCAGCCCTACGTCCGAGCTCCTGTCTCCCGACTGAGGCATCTCTGGATATGCAGCAGCCTCACCATATGCCATCTGTTCACGTTTGACACCGGCACCCATTCCCACTATACTGGGCCGATACTGCACGGCATGTGGATACGCCTTCCCGAGACCCATGTCCACCCCATAATTGAAGAGAACTTGATTCATCACGGACGAGATCGGGTCCATGTAATACGGTGGGGGATTGAGCTCGTGTTCCAGGTCCGTCTGGGTGCTCGTGTCGAACAACTGCCTCGGGGTGTTCGTGTCTTCGTTGCCCATGTTCTGGTACGGTGAGCCGTCCGATCTCGACAGGCCCAGAGATGGAAGCGATTCTTCAGAATCCAGTTGCGTGGCGATGGACATCGTTTGGCTGCCTAGGGATTCCCTATCTTCACTGCTACCTAGAACATCTTCGATTTCTCCCACAGGAAGCTCCGGTAGCGAGGAATTGTGCATGACTTCATGCCTTTCGTGCAAACTTCTGATCGTGTGGTTCAGACTGTCCAGCACCTTCCTGTTATGAAAAGAAGTCTTGCATGAAATTGAAGCAGTCTGAGACACCAGTGAAAAAGAAACCATTAAAGATCTGACTTGAGCTGTGACATCTGGAAGGTTCTTGTCGAAGAGTCTGACCCAAGTGCATCATGGCTATTGAACGTCTGCGGGAGCATCGGAGTTTGTGTCCTCAGGAGCCAAGGCCTCTGTCTCTTGTCATCCATTGGAGTAACAGTCACCTATTGAAAGACAGTCACCACTGCATCAAACCATCATGAGAAGCAATTATAAATGTGAAGAAACTAAGGGCATGAATGGAGTGCTGCTTCATGTTAATTATTATTATATTTCATTAGGCCATTAAGCAAAATTTTATTGCAGCAGGTGATGGACCATCTTATTTTCCTCTCCACAATTCAATTGTACTCATAAACATATTATATAACATTGCATAAGAGTCAATAATGGCTAAGGGCAGCTCTTGCCATTGCATTAGCCCACTGATTCTTGTGCAATGACATACAGTACAAGGTAATTTAATCTTGAAACAACAATCATCAATTGTTACATGGCACAAAGGAAGGACAACAATCATATTTCAAGTAAGATTTTACAATGACACTTTCTCACTAAATTCTGAAATATGAAAAGATTCTTTTGAAGCTTGCTTGGAATGATATTGATTCTTTCCGAAGAAACCCAATGTACCAAGAACTTGGTGCTTGCATATGCACCAAGAAAGTGAAATGCAGAGAGTGGATTAGCCTGTGAGCCTGTGTTAATCCACTCTGTATTTATACTCTGTACAGTATTTATGATGGCCTGTAAGTAACAATGGAATGGAAGAGACTGACTGACCCGGAGCTGCCCCTGGACTCTTCCCCTTATGTCAGTGATGTCGTACCACCCACTGATCTGGTTAAAACCATGTAGGAGAGTGGTAAGATCTAGGGACACAAAGCCCAGCACCACATCATCACTCCTCACAACTGCATCTACTCCTCCCCATACCTTCAGGATCAATGGTTTTTCCTGTAAATAGAATAAAAAGAAGGTACAGGAAGTTGCATAAAGCAGGAACACTGGGTCCTGTACACCAACCAAGATCATCCTGTTATGTGAGAGAAATTTTTCCATTCCTCTGTTTAATTTTGGGATTTCCATTCAAAATACATGTTCAATACATGCACATGGGTAAGATAATCTCTGCTTGTGCACAGGAACCAACATCTGTCATGAATGAAAATAAAAATATTCCACCTCTTGCAGATGACTAAGGCCAAGCCAGACCACTTTCTTCCAATCCCAGATGGGATCCACACGAGATGGTACAAGGGATGAGAAATGCACTTCATGTCTGACATCAGTGCCACCGGGTATGGAGACATAAAGCATGCAGATCTTCCCACCGGGATTCACCAGGTGTAAATGCATTGCCTCGTGTATTTCCACTAGTGCAGGGAATATGTCTTCTGCTCCTCCTGTTCTGTCCATCTGTCTCTCTGAATCCTTCTCAGGCATCTCTCTTACCACTCCTCTCTTTGGACCGTCATCATGAGGAATCATGGACATAGAGCTAGATTGGGATTCCACTTCTTGAGACTGGGGGTTGACCTGTCTTGCCAAGACAAGGAAACGCTCCATCCAATTCTGATCAGTGTTGGTTCCAAGTTCTGTCAAGGGCATATCTATCTCTGTCTGGCAGTCTTTTTCCACCACCACTTTTGCAGTTAATGGTACACTTTCTTCTTTGTCTTTCACCTCAACCTACAGAAAAATAGAGATTTTGAGAACAAAACATCCATTACATGCAACTGTCATAAGCATGAACATCACATGAAGAGTGTCTGCTCATTCAACTATCAAAGAATAATTTTCAAAAACAAAACAGTTCCTGAATTTGAAATAAGCAACCTGTCCCATTAGTAAATTTCTCAGTTCTCACATTCATGGAAGTTTTGGTTTAACTCCTTTTCCCATTTTTTGAGAACTTGCACCTCCTGCTTTTTCATTCAATCCCTACATGTGCATCATATTCTTTATCTTACATCCTCTACATTTCTCCCTTCAGTTTTACTTGGAGTTCAAAGACAGTCAAAACTTCGCAGCTTTTTTTTTCTGTCAAAAATCTGTCTTATCCCTACCTTATCCTTATCTGCATCCTCTGAAGTAAAAGAAGCGCCAAATCGAAGGTGGGAACAAATGAAATTAGGAAATTTGAAATAGCTCTGGATTCTCACCTCAGGCTGAACTACATGATTAGGGACTTGTTGAAGAGAAGATGTGATGGGTGTGGTTGAAGAAGGGTGAAGAAAATGTTTGATTTGGTCAGCTGTTCCCAGCCCAATCACCATGTTGAGAGTTCCTGCTTCCTCCCCTGTCTCAGGGGTTGTGACTGGCAGATACTGATCATATGCTAGCAGTGGAAACTGCAGAAAAGCAAGAGATGCTTGAATTTTATGAGGTAAACAAAAGTTGCAGTCAGCCTTTTGTTCTTAGGATGAAAGTCATTGTGGGCCAAGGTCTACTTAGATATGAGGACCACATAAATATGAACAATTCAGACAGATGCAATTGTATCAAACTTAAAATTTCAGCTTTTGTTTTTTTGCTCTATATTTAGGCTAATCCTAATGTATGAATCAGATATACCAGAAAATAATGGCCATCATTGATCAAACTTGGTTCCATCTGAGAAAATACAGTAAAGTAGTTGTCCTGGTACTGGTGGTCACACCTACAAATATAAGAAAGTGCTGCAAGTGGAAAATTCATATGTATACTCACCTGCTCATTTTCCAGCTGTAAAATCACCGGAAGGGGAAGGGCAAGGCTATCCAAGGGGATAAGGAGGATGCCCAAAAGGTGCTCCTTCCCAGGACCTGCTTGGTCCCACACCTCCACACTGCAATGGGTTCCCTGCAAGTTTTCCCCTCCTAACACTGGTTGCCTCTACAAAATTTGAATTGAATAATTGAGATCTACAGAACTGAATGAGGCTTAAGAGTGTTAAAACTATGGAATATAAACTGTGGCATTTACAGAGAAAAACCATTTTTAGCAAATAAAAAAAGTCTGTCAGCTAGTCACATCCTAGTGTTGTAGCCACAAAGTCAAAATAGACCTTATTGGAAGGCAGTCTAGTTTTTATCATGATCATTCAATATTAATTCTTCACCGAGACTGGGGTGGCAGTGCAGTACAGCACAGCACCACACTGCACTGAACTCACTAGGCAAAGATTGAAGGATGGTTTGGTGGTGGACCACTGGACATTGCTCTTCCAGACTGCTCCACGAGAACGGAGGCGAACAACTACCTGCAGGTTAGGGAGTTCCTTGGCATCAGCAGGAGCAGGAAAATCCCCATCCAGGATGTGGATGAACAGATACATCAGGTACTGCAAAATGCAAAATGATAACTCATTTAGACAATAATAAAGCTTTCTTTTATTATTTATATCATGCATTTCTGGACACTAAATTGCTAGTTCACTATGGGTCTTGGGCCTCTTAAATTTTCCTCCAAGTATGAGTCCTCATGGGTTTTTCAGAAGTGTTAGCAGTTATTCAAGACACTAGATAAGAAAGAGCCAACAGACACCTAAAAGCCCTTTGTGAAAAAATGAACAACCAATGACAAGTTTGTCCAACTGCCATATTATACATCTTAACTGTTTCTTATATTGTGTGATATTCATTCTTCCATTCAAAACAGATGAAAAGTTTTGAACCATTCTGGGCTTTGAGCAATAATGGACTGAGCAGTTGCAATTCTAGAAAACCAATCTGAAATCATAATTGGATATCATGAATTTACCTTTGGTCTCTGCAGGCTTATCTCATGGTTTTCAGGAATGTTTGTACTAGAATGTTTGGCACTTGGGTCATATATCTTCCCTGCTGCTAAAACATTTTGCCAATTAGGATGATCACTAAGGACAGAAGGATGCATTGGAAGATCTAGGTACGGCTCAGCAGGTTTCTCGAACACCCTCATATTGTCTGATGGTTCCACAGGAAGATGGGCATTCTTTGTTTCATGAGTCACAAAAATAGGATTACTCTTGACAGATTCAATCAAAGGTATATCTCGGTGTATAGTTCCTGGATGAAAATGAACTTCTCTCCTCTCAGGAGGCAGGAAGGCAAGACGGAAACGTAGTTGGCCCTTGGCCCCGCTCTGGGGATGTACAACAGTCCCTTCTCCCTCCAGTTCACAGCTGGCAGCTGTGATGAAATGTGACAAAGGAACTTCCACATGGCCAAGGAGTGAAGGGGATCTCTGACCCAGTGGACGGATATAGAGTGAAAATGTGATCACAACATTTTGCAGTGACTCCAAAGATATCACAGACATATGATGGACTTTCTTCAGCTTGAACTGCACCACTGCATAAGTAAAAGATGAGCCATTGCTACATGATTTAAAATATTCATCAACCAATGAGAGATGGGCACAGGAAAAGAGCTTACCACGACCCCGAAGGTCTTGTGAGGCCACCCTAACTGAGGGGGGTTTGAAGGTGTCATCAGGTAAGGAATACTGGAGAGTGAAGGTGCGTGGCTTGGTGATGCGGGGTACAGCCGAGTCACTCAGAGAAACCCAAGGTACCTCTATGCACAGCTGTCTTGATGAAAGGATCTCCTCCAGCCAGGATACTCTCTTCTCTAAAATATAAGTGACAAAAGCTGAAATGGAATTTTTAAGTTGTGCTTTTTCTTTCTGATTCTAACTATTGGTGATTTTCCAAAGAAATCTAATGAAATGAGCAGACTTAATATGAGCTAATTCCAATATGATGGCAGTAAGAACAAAAAACATTTATTTGGGCAATAGCAACAGGGAATTTCAAGGCCTGTCACTGCATGCTTATGTCTATGTAACCAGACTCAAGCAATAAGGGAGAATTACTCCACAAAACATTGTATACCCTTTTTTGTAGGTGTCCTCAGAAGTACCAATAGCTACACACTTGAGACTTGGAACCTTCATGAAAAAAAAGTAAGGAACACTTGATTGAACATGCAGGATCTGATCTGGTCCTATGCTAAAAAAGCAGTTGTCATGTTGAAGTGGACTGCAGTATCCATGTATCTGACAGTACAAAAACTCCTAATTGAGACATTAAAAAATCTTCACATGACATTATAACCATAGTAATAGACCAGTTTTATTGTATTTGATCCATGCTGTTTTACAATAACCATGAATATGGGAAAAGGTACCAGTAATTAGATCCTTATCTCACTCTATTAGAACTACCTTGCTTGATGAATCTTGGGTGAAAGTTTCCTGAGGTGTATGGTGCAGTTCTACCAGAAGCTACAGCCTCAATCTTCCTGGAATGAGATGGCAGCACTGGGATTTCCTTAATTGCCATTGTTTGTGTGGGATTTACTTCCATGCTGCTGGAAACTTTCTCAGGTACTCCAAGTGGGCAACCTATTTCTTCTCTGATGTCCTTGAGTGATGTGAGAAGTCGATCCAGCTCACCTTCTCTAGCACTCGACCAATTTTGATTTATGTCTGATAAAACTCCCCTCAGTTTCTCCAAATGTTTTGGGGAGACAGCATGAGATTCTGTTTGGGACGATCTGATGCAAACAAACAAATGCCCAATCAAGAGCCCATGCTGGTCAGAAACAGGGAAGTATCTTGTCTCCTCTCCATCAAGGTGAGAGAAGGCGACCCGGCAGGATCCAAACGGGACATCGGTCTCTCCATCCAGGAGTTGCAAGATGAGGCTCTTCTCAACTCTTAGAATATCCACAAGTGGGACAACTTCTTCACAAGTTGAGCGCTCCTCATTGCTTCGAGCTGACTCAACATGAAAGGGCCTAAGGGAAGGAAAAAAAAGTTGATATAGAAAGTCAAATATAACTAGAGAAATAAATAAGTCTCTTCCTAATACCTCTAATGCCTTTCTAATGTCTCTCAACCTAGTAGAGGAGATATGCAACATATGAGGAAACCAGCAGGTTTCAGGGAGTCCTGATACATATCTCCTCTACAAAGGAGTAATGGCACTTTCATGTTGGGGACATGGGCTCAACTTAAAATATTTAAAGTTGGGCAAACTCAAAGATAAATAATCAAGAGGAAATATAAACATTTAAAATGATATAAAACCAATAAATCACATCAAACCTAATTATAGCTCTCCCAAAACATGTTGCTAAACTAAAGAATCCAGGTACATCACCAGTACCACCGACCTCAAAAGAGATGGCTTAGTCTTGTGAGGCCAGTTGACTGCAACAAAGATATCTTCATGGCTGGAAGGATCCTGCAAAAGAATCTCTCCCAGAGAAATACTGAGTGCAACTGCAGGATCTGATCCTGAAGACATCTGATGACGTTTCCTCTCACACTTGCACCATCATGACAACATGCAGGACTTTCTTTTTTTACTCAACATTCCTGAGCCTATGAATTCAAAATGAAATTACATGTTAACTTCTGATGACAAGAGCATAAGAGTAAGCAAACATATTGCTATCTATTCAACATACTCTTCATGTCTGTACTTATGAATTTTATACATGCTTCTTATGTTTGCATAGATTATGGTATTTTGCTTTCATCCTGAGGGGAAACTGGTATGAAAACTCATGTCCAGTCAACTTCTCCATGACAAGCAATTCATGCTTTTTTGGGCCACCCAGGACAGTGAAGCAAGCATATTTTTCTTGTAGGACCAACTCAGTCTGAAAATGCCACAGATGAGTTGGTGTACCTCACTTTTCATTTCTCATTTTGGATTTGGTGTTATCTCAGCACTGTTCCAATGACAGGAAGTACCTCAGTATCAGGTGATAATAGGGGAAACTTTATTCTCTCTCGTCTTTTTTAGGAATCAACAAAAAAAAACATATTATGGCCACATCTTTTTGATTATGTCAGTCATTCACCATTATGAAAAAGATTGCATGCTTGAAGAGAAGGAAAAAGGAAGGACAAATGAGCTTAGAGAGAAAAGATGAGTGAAGACAAAGAAAACTCATTTGAAGGGAACACGAGGAATCACGGGCCTGGAAATGGCCACAGAGAGAGAGAGAGACAAAGAAAGCTCTACCATTTGCCAATAGGAGAGTTGAAAGAAAGGGAGATTGCTTCAGGTGGAGCCAGCCTCCTTTCCTCTCATATAAAATGGGGTATCAGACTATGAACACATAGATGGCACTTATTTTCTCTCTCAAACAGGTGATAGGGACTAATGGTCTATACAGATTTCTACTTCACAGCATGTTTCAAGCCCGGAATCACTGGAAATCTGCAGGGAGCATGATCTGCTTTGAGGCATAGGTTCCTCCCAACATGTTTCTTACAAAGCTGAACCTCAAGCATGCTTTACATCAGAGGTATGAAAAGACTTCAAAACATAATGAAGTTCAGCACTCACATAGCACAAAATTATACAAATAACGTTTTCTGAATCCAGAACATTGAGGATCTGAGAAGAGGTCTACCAACGTGGAAAGCTGTGGAACTCGCACAGCAATAGCATCACAGGCAGCCCAATGCCTCAAAATATATATAGCATCACCTCTTGCTTTTTAAAAGTGAAATTCCCAACCTATTCAATAGTCCTCATCATTCTAAATGAATGAAGGTGAAATGCACCACAAAAGAAAGTGCATAAAATGTGGTCCCTGAAGATCTGACAACTCACCCATAAAAAAAAATGGTTATCAGATGCATGACAAGAACTACACACGACATACCAAATGGGATCACAGCACTTTGTTTGAAGCTGAATGAATTAGTGTCAGAGAGGAATATGGAGAGGGGACAACAAACCACCTCCATGCTCCTTCACTGCTTGAATGGTAACACCAGGCAGAGCAGATCTTCATAGGGATCTTGTCAAAAGACTCAACCAGATATTCATCACGATATGCTACATGTCTGAGAATTACATGAGAAACTTCTTGAAGCATTATCTCTTACTCTCAAGTAAAAGCAGATCAGGCAGAATGAGTCAAAATCTAGTATACCTGATACCTGAGAATAGAAATGCAGAGATTCCAAGGTTTCAATATCCTTTCATGATGTATCTTTTAGTAGTATCACTTAATACATATATTTATGTTCAAAAGAAAACTATATCTCACTAAATAATGCTGCTAACTGAAACAAAAAATTTACTAGTGAAAGATGATGCATATAGTAGAATTGACAGTGCAGACAATACATGTTGAGTGCAATATTCCCTGTAATTCCGACAACCTGGCAGCATCCCTGCTCAGCAGGAAAGTCCATTATACTAAAAAAAAAGGTGAGTGGAATGTGAATATTCTAGGGTAAAAATCTGCAACATAAGGTTCATATGAGCGGTGCAATATGAGCAATGCATCTAATACAGCAGTTGAAAATATGATCAAGGAACAGGCACAATATGCTTAAGCACACAATTGAACACTTTCTCACATTTATACTTGTAAAAATGCCATGATTTCCTCTAGAGGGAAAGAGACAGAACTTTGCACAACAAGAACAAAACAGCAGGGCACTTCCAGCATAAAATATTTCATGAATAGGAGTCCTATTGCTCATAAAACTTAGATAATACAGGAATTAGCTCACAGGCTAGTTGAATCCAGCAATGCCCTTCTTGAGCCATCCACGAAAGCACCATTCAAAAGGCAAGACAAGTTTACCACACTTTGGTTTTTCCACTGCTTAATAGGGAAATGAAAGTGTGGAGTGGCAAGCGGGAACAACTGCCATCACCAGGTAAGAAACAGCAGGAACATGGCAATATTGTTAACAGCAACATCAACAATGGCCACATATTGCAAAAAAGAAAGCAAGTAGACACTGACCCTTACTAAAAGTGAAATCATTGGGAAAAGGAAATACTGCTGTACTTCACATCCTCTATGCCACCAACTGCAAGAGACAAGGAAGTTCTTCTGTAGTGCTTCTTCTTGAAGTGGGAGCACAACCAAAGTTGTCTTTTCCTTGGAAATCTATGGCATTGAGGATATGTATACAGCACAACAACACCTATATCATCTTGACCTCTATGATGGTTCCTAAAAGCAACTGGGAAGCCTTGCATGAAGACAAATCACATGCATGCAAAAGGCATAAATCCATTAAAAGTCAATGTCAGTCTTTTTTTTTTTACCTCTTAAGGCAAAATAAAAGTAAAATGAACCAGATGAGTTGAGTGGAATGGCTCTGAAATGGAGAGCAATCCATGTTGCAAGCAGGGGGAGGAATTTGGGCACCCCTTTGTACTACTCTTGCATGTTGAACTAACAACAATTTTTCTCTCAGGCAGTGGTACAATGTTAAGAGCCACAGCTGCAATTGGCTGTCTTTCTGGTACCACTACCCTCCCCACATACCCCTTATTTGCATATATCCAAATTTAGTAGTGGTAATAGAGGATAACAATGTTTCCCCTCTTTGCTTATTTTTTAACCAACAACTAATTTGCATAATGCAGAAAACTCAACCATTCCTTTCCTATTGCTTGCATTGAATGTCATTTAGTTCAATGTCCATCTAAATCAGTCCCAGTGATACCAGCCATCAGGCAACTTCATATGTAATGATTAATTGCTGGGACTATTAATTTAGTCAAGTAACATATCACTTCATTAGAATGGTGAGTCACCATTAAACGCCCTAACTATCGCACTGGAGTACCTGGGGGGGAGATGGACACAACATCCTTTCCTTTGACAAGATATACATTGACCTCTCCCTTGCCCTTGGCATATATGAGTCCACGGTGTTCCAGGTCATACCACGCAGTAAGGACATTGACACATTTTTCTGTGACCTGTATACGTCCCTGCACACCAGTGGAGTCCATGCGACTGGCAATGTTCACTGTATCTCCCCAGATGTCATAGTAGAGCTTGGTTGTCCCGATCACACCAGCAGTTACCTCTCCAAAATGGAAGCCCACACGAAGCACCAGTTGAAACCCAAGAAGGTTCTTGTTAAAACTGTTGACCACTTCCAGCATTTCAAAGGCAAATTCCACAAGTTCATGGAGGTGACGGTACTGGTGAGAATTCTTGGCCCGAACCTCAGGATTCAGGCCTGATGCAGCCATGTACACACTGCCAATGGTCTTAATCTTCTCCACATTACGAAACTCTGGACGATCAAGGAGCTCATCAAAATCCCCAACCAGTTCATTTAGCACCCTCAGGTATTCCTTGCCACCCTGGTAGGCTTCATCATACATCTCGTGGAAATTGACAATGCTGGCAAACATCACACCAACATCCACATGGTTTTCTGAGTACCCTTGTGCACTTTTCAAATGCTCAACCACATGCTTCGGAATGATATTGTTGAGCAAGTAATCGGCTTGATTCTTCATTGACTGGACCTTGGCTTTCTGAATTGATGCCAATAAGCTCCCATAGAAACTCAAACGGTAACTGATTTCAAATTCATAATTGAGGAAGATAATGAGGAAAAGGATGGAGAGGACATCCATGACTATCTCTGCATGGAATGCATGGAAAGCTGATCCATAGGGACAGGGGCAAGCCTTCAGTGCAAATAGAAAGAGAAACATGAGAGAAAAAATGCAGGCCAGAAACCCCTTCAGCCAGCAATTGATTTGAATGAAGTTACAGAAGTGGATAAGGGTGACAAAGAAGAGATACGAGAAGCAACGCGATGTGGGTAACCACTCGTCTAAATTCTGGCAGTGGGCATTGGACATTACCGAGATCACAGGGATGCAGACAAGCAGCGCTCCACACACATGCCATGCATACCATTGAGTTGTCCACTGGGAGAAGCGCTGGAGGAAATTCTTGAGACGGGGATAAGGGAAAAGGTGTTTCAAGCACATAGCAAGGACCAGGATGTACCACAGTGTTGAAGCCACACACACAATGATCCAGAGGTCTGACACATGGAGTGCAGCCAAGGTCCCTATCACTGTGATCAGGTGAATGAGGAAGGCAATGGCAAAATCAAAGTATGTGCTGAACTTGGGAGATGCAAACGTGACTACGTTGGTTGCAGCTTCATGATACCGGTGCACTCGAAGCCTGTATTCCTTCTCCACAGTCGGATCAGTGAAGTTCAGGGTCCATGGATTGAGTGGTGGGTGAAGAAAGTAATCCTTGTTATATGTATCTTGTTGAACACACCTGATGAGCTGTATATCAGATTGTTTGCGCAAGTGCTGGAATATGGGGAGGTCTGGTGAGAGCTCAGCAAAAGGCCCATTCCAATGCTTCGAGTCACCTGGAATGACCATCATGGTTTAGAGCAGGAAATTTTTCTGCAGCCAGAGTTCCATTTTCCATGACTTACTCTGAGTTAAATCTAAGGTAGAAGAGTCAGGTGAAGCAGTGAAATATCCACCACTGGCACGATGTGCTTCTAGTGGGTTGTTCTCATCCATTTCTCCTCCAAGCATCTTTGAATAAATGTCTTAGACTGAAAATCCAAAGCATGAGATACATTCATCTTGATAAATCCTCATGACTTACAGGTGCCTGTATGGATGAGAGGCATGAGCGAATCCCTGAATCCTTACGACTATTCAGAGTTGACCAAGAAGTGTTTAGAGTTTCATTCCTGGAAGACAAACCTATTGGCAATGGACTAAGGGCATCTTCACTGAGACCAGGTTCCAACTGTCCCTCTTGGTCCTATTCATATAACAATTCAACATAATTTCATTGTTGACTAACATTGTTCTTTCTTCCAGAGAAGGAAAAGTCAAGCTCACCATGGCAGGCAGAATATCCACCTTCCCAGACATGATATCATAGGCAGAAACATTCAGGTTTTCATTATACACTGGGCTGTCCTCCACAGTGGTCAGTGTAACACGTCCTGGAGAAACAATATCCAAATTTACCATAAATTGTTCAAAGAAACCAGCCATGAGAGAGACACCCATAAAGATTCACTTTTCTCAGTAAGCTGGCCTGGATCTCTTCGTGGCCATGTTGCACAGTAACTTGCAACCCCAGACATGTTGCCTTCTTCTTTTCGACCGAGGATGAAGTACGTCTTCATATCTGAAAAACCAGCACAAAATAAATCAACAATTATGAACTATGATTTTCAAATGGCTTAATAAGCAATCCTTGCAGCACTGCTTACCATTCACAACTGGTCCATCCTCAAAGAAAAACTTTTCTTGAAGGAACTTGTGGGTTTTGGCTGATATATGGACCCTTCCAGGTTTCCCAGTGGATTCCATTTTATTAGCACATGTGACATCATTAGAGAAAACATCAAACTTGAACCTCTTGGTACCAACAATGCCGCAGAGAACAGTGCCAGTGTGGATGCCAACTCGCATGTCCACTTGCTCATTGTTGTCAGCATCAAATTCCTTGATGGCAACTGTCATCCCAAGTCCCATTTCAGCACAACAAAGAGCATGATCCTCCCTTGGTTCAGGACACCCAGACACACAGTAATAACAATCCCCAAGTGTGCAGATCTTCTCACACCCAACACGTGCACACAAACTATCAAAGCGTCCAAACAGATCATTGAGAAGTCCTACCAACTGACTGGCTGTCTTGTTTGAACTCATCTTGGTGAATCCCACAATGTCAGCAAAAAGTATACTCACATCTGTCATATGGTTCATGTTAAAAGGCCGGAAAATATGGAATTCACTGGGATTAGAGGGCCTTGGACTAATTGGATGAGTGAGAGGCCATTCTTCAGAAGACGACAACAATGTACCATCATTGTTTTCACTCTCTTCACCATGAGCCTGCTCAGTGAAGAGCCATTCTGCTACAGCAGGAGGCATGACAGATAATATCATTTTCTCTTTAACCTGCTTCTCTATCTCCAGCTGCCTTCGAACAAGGAGGGACTGCCCTATCTTCATGAAGGTCCCACGAGACCGTACCTCATTCATGATGAGGATATGTATCCCAACTGCATGGATGGCTACGTGAAGCAGCACCCGAACAAAGATGAGAGATGATTCTGTGTTTGATGCAAAGAAGCCAGAAAAAAATTCTGTGACAACAGAGTATATGCCTCCCAGAAGAACCCTCATATATATTGGCATTGGTGTGACAGTATATACCAACAAGAGGATGATGAGTGTCATGGAAAATGATCCAACTGTGGTGAGATCAGCAGTCATTTCTGTGGTCGGAACAGAAGAGTCATAGATGGTGAAGACGCAGAGGGTGAGGATACCCAGTACCAATGCAATGATGACTGACAGAGGAATATGGTATGTTGAATACACCTTACTTTTTGTCATGAAGAACATGGCAAACAAGAACAAAGCTAATAGAAGGCCAGAGATTGTCAATGGTATCTTGTGCTTTTGAGCAAGGATGCCAAAATAAACACACCATGCAACTGTGACAACAAATATGTATGCAATACCATACTGAAATCTTCTCCTAATCATCGGCATGCTACTCCTCCAGTACTGCTCCTCCAAGACCTCTGAATCAAACTTGGGGTCCCACCAAGTTGGGGCTGCACGTTCAAATAAAACTGGACAGCAGCCATTCTGTTTTCCTTCACTTTGGAATGATGTGGCTGAAAGATATGCAGCCAAAGAAATGACTTGCTTCTCTGGCACCCTGTACGCATTGCTTCTTGGGGATGACTGTAGCTTTCGTGGTGGTATATTCATTTCAATCAATCATTATCTTTGTCACTACAGTGGTTGGGATCTACCTAATTAGGAAAGGCAGAATGTGACGTTATCAGTCTGGTTATTCTAGGCTAGCATCAGGGCATGATATTAGCCTAATTAAGTAATGAATGAAGAAGTTCTTCATGTAGCCTGATAATTGGGCTACACCAATAACTTATCTCTCATCTCTAAAATTGAATATGATGCTGCAGCCCATACCGGGACCTAATGTTTGGCTAATTATAGACTTAATCATGAGCTCGTACGGCAGCACCGTGGTTATTATGTCCTTTTGTCCAGTCGCTCATAAGATATATACCTAGGCTAGGCTTACAAATAGATAAGGTCTATGTTCTACTTTTGGAGACCTTAACGCTACACCAAAGAATATAAGGGCTCATTACGTGTCACAGGAAACTGTTGCACTACACCAACACCCTCTCACACAGCTGGGTGCCGAGACAGCCGAACCAACCAACCGACTGTTTTGGTCATATATATGCAATCCGCCATCTTCCCGCACGGGGGAGTCCACGGTTGTCCGTGCCAGCAGTGTTCCGGCCGCTAGGCCTCGAGATCCCGAGACCAGATATCGTGGAAGGTCACTTCACTGCTTTCTTTCTCTCTTTAATTAGAGGCAACAAAGGGTTCTTTTTCATCACGATTACGAAACCTTTCAAAGCCACAGGTGGTGGGGTTCGCAAATCTGCAAGTCTCTGAACTTCAACCTTCGCACCTAACGAGAGCTTCCAAAATTTCACACATCACGACAAGAAACAACTGCGTAGTGGAAATTTCTTACTCGTGGCTTGTAGAATAGCTTTTGCGGCCGGCAGTTCGTAATTAGAGGAAGGAAAAGGTCGTTCGAATGACCTGGAAATTAAAAATAATAATATAATAATGCAGGGACGTGAACAAAATGTCCAGGTATGGGAACACTGACGTGGTACCTCGAATTGTTTTTTTCTTCTTATTCTCTTTGACACACCTTATGCCCAATGTCAAGGTTCAGTATAGAGCAAGATTCCTGCATACTGGATTGATAAGCAGGGGTAATGCCTTACGTGAGTAATGCCGCAGCACGACCACGACGACATTGGATTCGATCCACACCACACCTGCAACAAGCGCCGGCCCCAAGGTAATGCCGTGGGATAAGAGAGTCGTGCGACCGACGGAAACATGATACCATCGAAAATCACTGAAGCTTCCTCCCTTCCAACTTCCTCCACGGTAGCCTCCCCCAGCAGACCCGTAGCTTCCGGTTCCAAGTGATTCTTGACCAGCATGTCATCCAGAGAGAAACTCGATTTGGTCCTCCTTCGTCACTCAGTCGCCCACACAGCCCCCACCGCCGGGGTTCTCCCACGTGAGACGCTGGCGTTCGGGGCTCTCCCAACTCGAACACGGCGGGCTTTCGAAACAGTCGGTTTCCGCTCTCGGAGGGGAATGGTTCGATTGGGTTGCTTTCCAAGCCGGATTCCCAACCGCGGGAGCCATCGGAACCACCAGGGCAAGCGTCAAAGTACTTCAAGTGCAGATCCTTTTTTTTTTTGCCTTGTGACTACAATATCCTTTCATATACAGCTTCAAGGCTCTCGCTCGAAACTATTCCTTAAACTGCTCAAGTTCAAGTGCAGTTTTATTTCTCTTCTGCAGGACTTTTAGCAAGTCCCACGAATAATGTGTCGCAGGCACAGGCGAACGGGGAACGGCTCCTTCCCCCCCCCCTTCAAAAAAAAAAATCCACGACCGAGATTTGATAGTGAAAAAGGTGATGCAGTCACGCAATGAACATTGAGGGTCGGATGCGAGAAGCCAAGCTGAGCTCCAGCACGTATCTACATGAGCCCCTCATCATGCATGGAGCAATAGAAAATGATTACTCTGTTGTCCCGTCTGGTAAGGTCGCAGGAAGTCTCACTTGAAGCCATGCAACTACGAAAAAAAAATCATACTGTAATATGTAGGTCACGGCGCAATCCGACCTTGCGTCTTCTTTAAGGCTCCTCTATCTAGAGCACAAAAGAGAATGACATTATAGCTCATTAACTGCATTGGTTGCTTAACTTTTGGAGTACCCCTCGTATATAGACGGACCTTTTTTTCATAAGGTCAGCTTTCGCAAAGCGAGCATATTTGTAACACACGCATCCAAGTAAAAAAAAAAATCAACTACAAATTAAAGATTTAAAAAGAATTACTTCTGCCACAGAAAGCGAATGCGGGCAATAAGAAAGACGATATCGTTGTAGGTATACATATATACATATTAGCTATAAATGGACCACATTGAGCATCATCTTCGTAGCCTCCGTCAGAAGATCATTTAGTTTCTTTCAACTGGCTGCGTGCCAGCAAGAAGGGAGGAGAGCTTCATCGACGGCTTGGTTCATGGCCATCCACCCCGTCGCATGCGGTGCCTCCCGAGTCGTCCTTCTGTGCTGGAGCGATGGGCTGTGGGGGCGAACGCAAGACGGAGGAGTGCGAGTCGACGGGGGGGACCGACGGGGGATGGGCCTGGGTCGTCCTCGTGTGCACGTGCATCCAAGGGGTCAGTGCTGCGGCGGGGGGGAGGGGGGAAGGGAGAGCCGGGAGGGACGTGTCTCCTTTGCGGTGGGGCCTGGTGGGGCGCGCTGGGTGTTCCCGTGGGAGTTCTGGGGGCGGTGCGGGGCTGAGTCATCGTTGGGAGGTCGGTGGCGCGTCGGGGATTCTGATGCTTTTCGCGTCGTTCCCGGTTTTATTGCCGATGGCGTTAGACAGCCTCCAGAACACGTTGTATAGGTTGTTACGCGAACAGTTTAAAATACGGACGAAAACGCTCGACTTGAGCTTGTGACACAAAGCCAGGAGACTGGTGCTTCCTGAGTTTGTCAAGAAATTTTTTGGAATGTGCGAAGACACAGCAGATTCCCGACCTTTTTGCGGATTAAGATGTCCCGTCGGAAACTAAAAACGGAAAAATTCGATACAAACGACTTCTTGCCAATCAGGCGTGAACTTGAGACTTGAGGGTGGGACTGTCATAGACAGGGCCCTTCTCCCCGAATGCGGAGAAATGACGGACAAGTCAAGAGCTTCATACAACTAATTTGAGAGGCGGGGTGCGAACCTTCGCTCTCAGGACGTTACGAAATCCTGATATCAAGTGAGAGTTTCATGAGTTCGATGAGGAAGTAATATGTTTCGTATAGACTTTCAATATAGCCTAACAATCTGTACATAGAGGCTTCACACTAAGACGGGGTCTGACGACGCATCATGGTTCACTACTGGGTAAATGACTGACGTAGCACTGCCCTGCCATCTAGTGTCCAGGGGATGGACTATGGCACGGCACGGTCCAGTCAGGGCCTGGTCATGACCTGGTTAGGGCATGCCCAAACCAGGGTAACGAAACGTCACTGACTGCGTAGGAAATGAGCTTTGCGTCGCTGTTTACAAAGATGAGGAGCATCACGTCACCCTTTATGTCAGAGCTACGTACGAAGGGGGCTGTGACTCGTCGTACGTGCACTGAAGAAGTAATACTTTGCAGGCCGTCCGAATCCAGTTTGCCACAATACGAACTCATTCATCATTCCCGACTTTCATGCTCTTCCTACATGTCCTTAAATGTCTTTAGCCCTACATTTCGTTTCGATGACGTTTATCTTCCCGCACGCACCGCCCGTTTCTTCGCCGATATAATTCAGGTCTGAAATTGAGCTCTAGCCGGAGATCGATGAGAATACCCGATGGCTTCTTTCAGGTGACGGTGTGGGCCTTCATCGGAGTATTCGGTCTGCTGTACGAGGAGCCGCTGCGACAGATGGGGGCCGACGCCACGGACGCCGCGTGGCTCTTCAACTTCTGCAAAGCCCTCCAGTATCTCGGAGGTCAGGGAGGGTTCGCCTTGGCTCGAGGGAGGAGGGTTCAATTGGTCCGTGGTCGTCGTAGGGATGTGCGCGGGGCCGGTGGTGGTGGCGGCGTCGCACAGGGGGGTCGTGACGGCAGGGCTTCTCATGCAGGCGGTGGGGCTGTTCGCGTCTGCCTTCGCCGGCTCCGTTCTGGGACATACCTTCACCTTTAGCGTTCTCGTAGGTGAGGCCGGATTCGTCGTTTTCGTCGAGTGGGTCTCGAGGGGTTCGAACATTCTTCTGACCCGTTTCGCTTTTCAGGGTTTGGTTCCGGATTGCAGTTCATCGGATCCTATCTGCACCTGAACCTCTACTTTGACAAGAGGAGAGGCTTCGCAGTTGGAATGTACATGAGCAGCATCTCCGTCGGGTTCATGCTCGTTCCGCAGCTGGTCGAGGCTTCCCTCCACCACTTTGCGAGTCAGGGCACGATGATAATATTATCAGGAATAGCGGTTCAAATGCTTCCTTTCGCCTTCGTTCAGACCACACATCCACTGCCCCGTTCGAAGAAGATTCTTCCCGACCAAACATGCGATTCCGATGCCGACCTACAAGAAGAAGCGGCCACGGACCAGGAGCCCCCAAAGCAGATCAACCGGCCGGCGGAACCAGACGACCCCGCCAGAGGAACCTGCTCGGGCCTCTGGAAAAGAATCGTCGGGAGGTTCCACCCCAGCCTCGACTTCACCGTCCTCCGAGAACCCATCTGGTGGATGCTGACCATCACCGACTCCGTGTTCTCTCTCGCCCTCACGAACGCGGCGATGATCCAGCCGCTCCTAGCAACCGACCGTGGATTCCCCGACGGCTCGGGCGCACTCCTCCTCACCGTCAGCGGGTGCGCCGAGCTCGTATCGAGACTCATCGTCCCGTCCCTGACCGACGTCAAGAGAATAGACAATACGTACCTCTTCATGTTCTGGCTCTTCGCAGCATCTCTCACGCCTCTAGGTAAACCAGTGTCACTGCCTCTACAAACGAGATGTACCGTTAGATACTGAGATACTAGTTACTACATACCTGATGCTACATACTAGATAGCGGATAGCAGATACTAAAAACCTGATACTAGATGCTGGACAATAAGTGCTAGATACTGATTCACCCGAGTCTGTAAACCCTCACTTCTCTCGCAGGTTTTGCCCTGAGCGAGAGCCTTCCCTTAACGGCAGTGATGAGTGGCTTCCTTGGTTTGGGAACGGGTGCCGTGATCGGCATGCCCAATCTCCTTCTGACTTATTATCTCTCGGTATCCAGGCTCCCGTCCGCGATAACCTTCAAGCTGGTCGTGAAAGGCCTGTCTTTCTTCATCGGACCCGGAATCGGTAAGCATTGCGGTAGGCGATTTTTATTTTTTTATTCCCAAGCCGTTTCAGCATCTCGTTCCCACCACGGCAGGCAAACTGCGAGACGCGACGGGGGACTACAATCTCCTCTTCTACATCTTCACGGCGTCCTTGCTGCTCAACTCGGGGGCGTGGGTCCTCTACGTCGTCGTCGAGAGGAGGAGGAGAATCCAACGCGAGGTCACGTGACGTCTCTCCCTTCTCGTGACAGCCCTCATTTAGGATCTCAGCTTGAGCGATGCGAACTGACGACGGAAAGCGAGTACCACGACCCGGTCAGGAATTGTTCGGAAATAAAAGAGGACCCTGAACTCGAGATATTGCCTGTTAATATTCACGCACCTTCATTACATTTGATTAGCCTCGATTCATTCAAGGAAAAAAAAAATGCTCACAGCCCACTCACAATCGCGGAGGAGCCCATCTGCAGGACATCATCTTTAAAAAAAATTATATATATATTTGAGCGAATATTTCAGCGAATCACGAATATTTGCCTGGGAAAAAAAACTGCCCCCGATTTATTTCTCAATACCAGTTCTCAAATTTCGAATCCTTCTTAATGACATCTAAACACGGCAGCAAGTAGAAGACGTTCCGAATTCGAAAGAAAAAAAGGCAAAAATTTTTTCATCAAGTCCCAATCCTCCCCGGAATCAATTTCATATATCTCATGCCTCAAAAGCAAAAGAAAACAGCCCGGCGGCATCGTATGTTATGCAGTCGTTAACATGGAAATCAGAGGGCAATGAACTTTTTTTGGCAAATCATCCCAGATTGCCATACTCAATATCACCGAGGCTTCTGAAAAAAAAATCCAAATGCTTACTGACGAGTCCCCACTCGTGTCTTAACAGGTTTTGTACTTCATAGGAAGTAGGACTCAGGCCAATGGTAAATACCAATTAGGAGTGCCAATTTTAGATGAGGACAAGTTGGAACGTGGGGTGTTAGCCAGGTTTAACTTTATTTTCATATTTTACTTATATTTATATTTTTGGACTCACCAGACTTTTGGACACCAGCCGGACCATAAAGAGTCCATCGGCGCCTTTCTTTTCGAAAATTGTTCTATCGACCATGATGAGAGGTGAGAGGGATTCCTCGATTCGGATTCCTCGACCTGCTTCGTAATACATGCCATGTCTCCACTCCGGCGGAAACTGGCATGACCACATTCACATTCACCTGGATGGTCAGCTGAGACAACATTCTGACCTTCCGGCAAAAGAAAACAGCCCGGCGGCATCGTATGTTATGCAGTCGTTAACATGGAAATCAGAGGGCAATGAACTTTTTTTGGCAAATCATCCCAGATTGCCATACTCAATATCACCGAGGCTTCTGAAAA